AATTGCAATGCAGTGTCAGTGCGGAGATATCTCTAATGGGTCACGTGCGGCATAATCATAGATAGCGGGCTCTGGTCGCAGTGAATGGGCGGACTTCCGATCCCCCATCAAAAAAATCGGCTGATTTCCATGACGAATATCTCACTCAAAATAAGCCTGTGCAAGCTCTAAAGTGAATGGGGGGTAAATAACCCATATGAATATAACTTGTCAAATTTTGAGACTGATTGGAGGTGATTGGGTGGTTGCCTTGGGGGTGTGAAGATGTTCAAGCCCTGGGGGCAGTCCCCACTTTTCCCGCCCATAGTTAAGAGGACAACCCTTAGAGCCTTCACCGTCAAGGCTCCTACCCCCGTGGGATAGGGTACAGAGCTGTTGAATGATTATCTACTCCGCAAAGGCTATTCATGGTGAATCAAATTTCCTGTCTGTAATTACTTCTTATTTCGAAAAGTGTGTTTCCCATGTCCAATGTGCCTCTTTTGTTGAGTATGAAAAAAAAAAATTAATACTGTAATGTGTCTTTTCCCAATGAATAAATATGTTATCCACCCAACCAGTGGTCAACGAGCGCGAAAAATCCAGTGCAGCCATAGAACGGTCTATGAAATCCATCGAGTACGATGCTTTTTCTAGCGCGATTATGAGGCGCGAATTCTGTGCATTGGAAGTTGGGCGCTCTACATCCTTAGGGACGGTTTGATTGAAGACGGCCTGTCTTTCGGAGCGTCATACTCCAGCTCTAACACGTGACTCAATGGATGTGGTATGGTCATGTGATGCCAAGGCCGCCGGCCACTTAATCAAAGCGCGAGCTATAAAGTTGTTCCGTCTCCCAAGTGCCCCTCCATGGCCCTCCATGCCCCTCATACGGTAAAAACATGACTCCCGTATGAAGAATAACTAACTCGATTAGTTTGAAAGGTTTGTCTATGCGAAAATGTGTATCTTCATAATGCTAATATATTTTGCAGTCAGCAGAACCCTTTATATGAATTTCGTGTTCTTGCCGCGCATACCAAGATGAACCGTCATTTGAAGCCCGAAGCCGAAAAGATTCGAAAGGAGATCAAAGAGATGATACCAGAGACGGCTACAGAAGATAACAGCAACCTTGAGAAGGCGGACTGCCTTCGCAGTGATGATGGGAGAGTGATGTATGCAGGAGAGGCGCTTGCAAACAAAGTCGTCACCCTGCGCCATTATCTGGGTCTTGGTTCGGTAAGCTTGTCTCCAAATACCGTTATTTTACAAGGCTTATTGTGTGTTAGGACTGGGGATGGACCCTTTGGCATTTTCCTGCAGCAAACGAACTAATTAACAAAAACTCCTCAATGTACCTCATCCCACTATCCGGCAGCGCAAACATACCAGAAGGCGGATCGTTAACTGAAGGCTCTTTTATGCTTATCACGAATAACCCCATAGTCAGGTCAGGAGCGACTGTCATTATTTTTATGAAAATTTTATGAAGTGAAACTCTCATATTGTCAATTTTATTAGCGTTCATATTCCGAATACAAAATCAATGTATTTTAAATGCAACTTTGCTTATCACTAGAGTGGCACAGCGAAGCCGCAAAATCCGCGCCAATCCGCGCCGAATCCGCAATGGCGCGGATTCGGATCCAGTGGGCCAGAATCCGAAGCGGCTGCGGATTATACA